TCACTTAATATTGTTGAAGAATAAACCAAATGCTTAAGACTATTGAAAGTCCTAAAAAAATGCTGAATTGTTTTTACTATTGAAATTAAGCATCTGCCTGGCATCTGCTTTACGGCTTAATGGCACCCATTCCTTGTACTTCGTGTGAGACCCATACAAAGGTCAATAAGCAGTTTTCTACCTGTCAGGCAGGGCCCTGTGGTGGGGTGGCAGACCATCTGATCCCAACCTAACCCATCTTGTTTGCACATACTTTTCCAGGTTTCCAGCTTTTTATAGGTTCTTAGTTCCTTTGCTGTCAAGAGACAGCAGAGAGAAAGTTGGTAATTTTCCAAAGGAATTCTTTAGTGAACATTTAGAAAAATAATATAAGCACATATGTGTAGAAGTAAAGTTTCAAGATTTTTTTAAAAATTTAAACCAGGGTTTAGCTACAGATTGGATGGTGTGGTTAAACATGAAGCAGCCCAGCTCTTTTTATTGCCTCGCCACTGTGTGAGTTTGATAGTGGAAAGTGAATAATAAGCAAACATATTCAAGTGCTGGGAGATTTCATTTTAATTGATACCAATTCTAACAACTGCTAATAAGAATTTCGCATCCCCCCCACCCTTGCTTCCTAGAATTATCTCCAGATAGGGACTCCAGGCAACCAGGAGATTCACCATGACCCCATGCCTGGCTTCCATCTTGCTCTGCACATTGCCTTACTTCTCTCTGGCCATTCTTGGCGCACAGCTCTAGATAAGAAGGTGCTTCATAGTTTGTTCCCAAAGACTCCTTCTGGATATCAGATCATCTTGTACCACCTGCCAACTCCTTGGTCTTATTAATGCTGGCACTGAGCACCCAAGACCCCTACCTCTCCATTTCCATTTGTTAGTTATCATGTTTTCTTCCTTTTCTCTTCTTCCTCCTCCTCCTCTTCTTCCAATTAGTACTGCTGCTAATTTTAGGGTGGATTTCATCCATTAGAGTATTCAGGAATCAATGAACTCCTTCTGGATTTGTAGTTACATCGTCCATTCTTTTCTCACGCTTCTCATTAATCATTCAGGTGCTTTGCCTCTGATCTGGAAGAACATCAACCTTCCAGAACGCTATTTTTAGTTTTGCAAAACTTCCAAATGTTATACATACAGTTACAACAAATACAAAAGTTTCACCAAAGTTTTTGAAATGTACAGTCTCTAAAAAAAATTATATTATCAGAAAAAAAGCAATAAATATTCACCTTCATCTTAGATTTTTCCTATTGTTTGTCTATCCCTGACAAGTGAAAGAATAAACAAGAGAGGATCAAGACTCTAGAACTGTTCTTTCTATTTGCAGGGTGGTTTTGGAAGTTGGTTCTAACCATGCCCAATCTGAATTTTTACTGAGTAGGTCCAGAATATTAACAGCCAGGGAGAAGTTCTCACAAATCGTAGACATGGATGCTCACCGATGCCCTGTCCAACTCCATGGCTTTTCTGGCCTCACCTCAGGAGCAGTGCACAGGAGCTGCAGCTGATCTCAGAGACTCCCAGCCTGTATTGAAGAAAGAAATGAAGACATTTTAAAATGCCTGGCCATGTTGCATTGAAAAACCATACTGAATTCCCTCTCCAAAACAAAAAGGAATTTCTAAATTGCTTTGAAATGCAATTGATTCTCATTATTTATAGTAGTTATGTTCTAGAGTCATTGAATAAGCAAATACTCAACAATTACTCTTAAGGTATGGGTAGGGTTAGGTTTCTGCGAGTTTCTGGTCACAATATTTTCATCAACCAATTGATAAATGACCTTGTTTTATGTGTGTTTCTGTTTCAAACACTTTATTCCATATGTGCTGTTGAACTCACCACCTACAACACTAGGATTCATGCCGGAACAAAGTTTATCTGATGCGTATTTCTGTAAGGCATGTCACAGTCTTCTTGTGCTTAGAAACACTGAAAAGCACTTCAACACCATACTTGGGGGCAATTTTAAACAGCTAAATTACTAACAAAAAAAAAATACTGAAAAATGTGACACCAAAAGGACCACAAAAAGGATACTTGTTTACGGTATAGGAGGTGAAATGAGAAGGCAGAATGCTGCCTTATTTGACTTTGACTGGGAACGTGTGCTTTGGGTGACTCAAATTTTTCATTGTTCCATGCATGTCTGCAAATGACTTGGAAAGTGCCTTAAGTATTGATGTTGGAGTTACAAATAAATTTTAATGATTACATGAGTTTGGAACAACAGAATTCTCAAATAATGAGAATCAATGGTACTTATTTGGATGAAAGAATACTTTGGACCTGAGCTTAATATCTGATTGAATAGATATTATCATCCTCAATTGAAGGTTGAGAAAATTGAGATACAGGAAGTTCAAGTAGCTTGTACAAATCACATTATTAATAAATGCTAGAGTTGGAATTTAATTCATACAGTCTGACTCCAAAGTCCTAATGTTTAAGCACTATACTATATTGCCTCTCATGATAAATAACTATTAAGTTTTAGATTTTGGAGGTTTAAAGTAAGAAAAGTTATTTTGTATCTTATTTATTTATTAAGAAGAAAATAAGATTTATTTGAATATAATGCAGATTAAGAACTTAACCTTTTCAACTAAAACATTTAAAAGAAAGAGTATCTTACATAAAGTTCCTTGAGACAATTAACAAAGGAAATGCCAAGTAGATATTATATTGTTAATTTTAAATATTAAAGAGACTATTTTAGTAACAAGAATTCAACTGTAACAATTAATGAGGTGAATATAAAATTGAGGTTAATAGCAAAGTGCATACCTTCTTCTGTACTTTTTACTGTCATATTTTATGTACTATGAAACACAACAAATCTGCAGCATAGGACTTTGATAGACTATTATTTCCATTGTGAATTTTGTTTACATTATCAAGGTTTTAGAAATAATAACCTTGGCAGCATCTTGCTATTGCTTGAAATTCTAAATAGAATTATATGTCAATTGTTCTGACAAGACGGAAAAAATGACACCTCACATGTTGTATATTGGCCTTCCTGTCACAGAGTAAAAAGTTACATAAACCCAACAGTGAATGTTCTGTTTTACAGATCCACAGGAATACTAATATATCCTCAAATTTCAAATCTTATTCTAAAGGGAGTGTAAAATGTTGCATTTCTTCAAACTTTGCAAATATCTCTTTGACTCCTTTGATTTATAATTAAACACCCAAAAAAAATTAACCTCCAAAATGTCTATGTTATGGCATCGAGTCCAGAGAAATATTAGAAGTCCCATAATTCTGACTTCAACCCTTTAATCTTACAAATGAGGAAACTGAGGTCTAGGAGATGAAGAATGCTATTGTTTTGTTGTAGAGTCATCCTACTCTGAATAAATAAATATTTGCTATTTCAGGTAATGATCCATGAGAGCAAATGGATTACATGGTCATGCATTTACAGTTCCCATACTCATCTTCCTGTTATATTTTTATTTAATGCTCATATCTAAACTGGGGTATATTTTCATTTTGGCATTCTAGTGAGCTAGGTTAATCTTTTGAAAGCTTTGGTCTGATTATTTCAATTTGATTATTGATCATCTTTTATGGGTATTATCTTAAAAAGTTTATAAGTATTTCTGCACAGCAGTATATGACTTATTTGCTATGTGCCAACTCATCTGTTTATTTGTATTTGTAAAACTAGTGAAACTGATTTTTCCCTTAAAAAATTCCCTCCAGAAATTGTTTTCTAGTTTCATAAAATTACCATTTGACAGACATTGACTGAAAAAACTGAAAACTGATATTTTATTTTGTCCAGAAGAAAATAAAAATGAAATTTGCCATACTTTAGTGTGAATTATGACTTCTTTATTTATACCTTTATAGTAAAAACAAATGCAATGAATGAATCAATTAAATGAGAATTGCCATGAAATGAAGCAAACATACACTGCAGATTAAGCACATTCTAAAACATTCTTGTATCTTCTTGAGAAATCTATTATTTTATTATAACAAGTGAGATTATAAATTGTAAGGTAAATGTGCGAGTTTAAGATAATAACTAAATAGTGTATGAACTAAGACTATTAATGCAAATTCTCAGTTTTCAATAAAGTTATGAGGTGGCTGTTTTCACTTGTTTTAGAATTTTGCTGGAAGAAAATCGACTTTGTTTCAGTTGCTATAAGTCTTCACATTCTCTTTGATAATGCCATAGCTGTTGAACTGATATGTAATTTATGTAATATTTTTTCAGCTGGGTATAAAAGTGTAGAATAATAACACACCATACCCTCATGCATTAGTTTGTGTTTTGTTTATCTTTGAGACAGCAGTTTACATTCATCATTTCATAGTTATACAAAATTATTACATATCTTCTAATTGATAGTTAATGAATAATTATGAAAATCAAACTCTAGAACATGGATATAAAAGTTATAAAATTCTAGTGGAAATTTCCATACTGAAGTTGTTTATAAAAGCACCTGTATTTTCTGTTGCAGTTAGTTTTCAAAAGAAAAATTTCATATAGAAATCTGACATAACCCTTCCAGGAATTTCATGTTCATTTCAACTTCAGAGGAAGCAAACCAGGCATGGCAGTAGGAAACACAAAACTATTTTATAGATGAACTCATAGAATTGTGTTACTTAGTGTTTGGCTAATGTCTAGAACATTCAAGAGAAGTTATTAAAACATAATGTTTTTGTTTTGTTTTGTTTTATACTTAAGAGGTTGGTATGCTTTTTTAAAAATTAAACTTACTCCACAAGTAACAATGAGACATTAATGCTAGTGAGAATATTAATTTATATTTATTTTAAGATAGGATATTGAAGGGGAGAAACCTTAGATTGATAAAACTATTGATGGTTTCTTATATGCAAACTTACACTAAAAGTCTCCTCTCCTTCATGGGAATTGCTTTTAGGAATAGAATATGTTTGACTTTTTTATGGGATTGCAAATATAATCAAAACACTAAATCCTACTACTGTTTATGCTTACAGACACTCATTTCAAAGAACTTCCCACTCTTCTCCACTGTGCAGCAAAATTTGGCTTAAAGAACTTGGCTCTTCATTTGCTTCGATGCTCAGGAGCAACCTGGGCATCTAAGATGAAAAATACAGAAGTTTCAGATCCAGCACACATTGCTGAAAGGCATGGTCACAAGGAACTCAAGAAAATCTTTGAAGATTTTTAGTAAGTTTTTTTTTTTCCATTATCTCTCTAAAACACTTTTTATAAAAGAAGTGGATTTGTGTGCACACATGTACATTTTTGGGCGGTGGAATGATGTCACTGCTCAACTAGTTTGTAATGTCTGTTGGTCCTGAGTCATCCATTGTCTTAAAAAGCATTTTGAAAAACGAGTCAACTTATTTTCATATTGCCGTAAACCAATCCTGACTCCATATGTTCACTCCTAAGCATCCCCTTTTGAAACCTATCTGGTATTTCTTACTTCTATATAGTCTGTTTGGTACTGCAAAAGAGATGGTAAGAAGGAAGTAAAAACATATTACCTTTTTCCTTTTTAAAAAAGTCTAGGCCAGGCATGGTGGCTCAAGCCTAATTTCCCAGCATTTTGGGCGGCTGAAGCAGGAGGATTACTTGTGTCCAAGAGTTGGAGACCAACCTGGGCAACATAGCAAGAGCTCATCTCTACATAAAAAAATCATAAATTGTAGCCAAGTGTGGTGGTACACACGTGTAGACTCAGGAAGTCAAGGTTCCAATGACCTGTGATTGTGCCACTGCACTCCACCTGGGCAATAGGGTGAATCTCTGACTCAAGAATAAAAAGAAGCATTCAACCAATCTGGATAAGACACTGCTAGGCACATGAGAACAGATCTATAATTATTAGGCTAAATGAATGAATTTTTATAATAATTCAAAAAGTCTGTCCAACAAAAAGTTAATTCATATTGCTTAAATTTGTTTTTCTTGATTCCTTTTCTTTCTCCCTGTTAGGTCTCAATTCTTTATTATATAGATTGATGCCCCAAATTTCAGAACACTTTTTGAAGAATGTTTGTTTTGTAAGAAGGAAACCAAAAGTATATTTTAAGAGAAGATACTATGTAGGTACATAAAACACAGTTTGAGTTTTTGTAATCCAGTTTAGAAAAACAATTGCTTTCTGTTTGTAAAAAAGATATGCAAGTTTTGCTTCAGACAGGGAATTATACCACCGATGGTTCTTAGAAAAATATAAGAGGACAATGATTATGCTGGTAAATATGTCAAAATTTGTCTATGGATTCTGAAAACAAAAATAATTTTGTTGTCAATTAGTAGTTAATGTAGAACATATACATGCTATAAGTAGCTTCTGGTTATTTTAGCACTTATTTTGATTACCATATCAAGCTGATCTAATATTGGGCTTCAAAGAAATTATCGGCACTTGTGATTTCCAGAAAGTGTAATGACAACCAAGGAAATTTTCTCCATTTTTAAGAAATAACAAAATTGTTGGAAGAGCATGGATGTCATCCACTATCTGGAATTACTATAGGATATCTTTTTTCTATATTTAAAATAAAAAACAAAATTTTGTGATAAAATTAATAAATTGCTAATTTTTAATCTACATCCTTCATATCAGAAAAGGCTTTCTTTTTATATCTTGAAAAACGTTAGATAATGATTGTTATATATTCTAATATTTAACTATTTCTACTTCATCTGATAAATTTTATTATAATAACTATCTACCATATATTGTCATTGACCAAAGCAGGATGGTATCTGTCTCAGGTAAGTCAATGAGTCAATTCAACCTTGGATATTTACCCATAACACTATCATTTAGTACACCTGATGGGCCTATCTTCATGCTGTACAATCTTATTCTCTAATTTTTCACCAGTGGTGAACCAGCTTGCAATTTTTCCTACAAGCCTTAGCATTCAGGGATGCCTTCTAAGCTAAACCTTTATTTTCAAAAAGTGATGCTTACACTTATCGCTCTCCAGTGAAGACTCAGCATTTGTCAGATGCAGCTTCATGCTTCCTGCAAACTTCACATATTCATAAATAACTAGATAGTACTAAGTAATAATGATGGTAGCAGGCACTAATAGGATAAGAGGCAAGGGTTGATGGACATAGGGAATATATCTCTCTCTTACATCCTCTAGATATTTATACCTCTGCTTCTGCAATAACAGTAGTTATACAAGTTGAATGTTATTGTCTCTGGGTGACTATTCAGTACTTTATAATGACTACATTCTAATTTTGCAGAATTATGTTTGATAATTATTCTACAAAATTTATTAAATGATTTTCTATAGTCTCTTTCTGAGCTGTTATCTTCTGCCAGGATGTCTTTAGTAAACATTGCCATTATGAATAGGATTGATAAATTATCTTATGAATATTCTGTTGTCAATAAGGAAGTAACTTTAGCTGTGATAAGAAACAATAGATCTGTAAATGCATTTTAATGTCTATGGAATTTTAGGTACAATAATTTTGCATGCTATCAAAGACCTTTCTATAAATGTATAGTTAAGGAAATGAAAACTTATGTATTACATTGTGACCCATGTGGAAAAATATTTCCTGTTGATTTGCATAACACATAAATTATTCTTCTAATTTTTAACTGTATTAAAAAATACAGGGCAACCCCTTCAGGTCCCCTTCCACTGTGGGAACTTTTCTGTCCTCTCCATAAAAAAAAAAAAAAAGGGTGTCATATCTTCTTAGTGAAAGTAAGCCAGATAACCACATATTAACATTATCTATGCTAAGCTATAGTCGTTATGACTTTTTAACAGTTGATCTAAACCTGATAGAGAAAAACTGTAAAATCTCATTATGCTAAAATGCTTCATTGTTCTGTTAGTGATATTTATATAGCTTCAGTGTTGTAAGCACATTCTGATAACTCTAAGATCATCACATGTGCATTCAAATTTTTCGTAAACTATTGTTTCAGGAGAGTGAAAGGAACAGAGTTTTTCAAGTTTAAGGTGTATAATCTACCAGTGCACCATACTTCTGTACTGAAAAATATCTATTTTTAAATTTAAACATATTTTGTGCCCCAATTTTTTACTTATTTGTTCAATTCTTTCTAATCTTCCATCAATGAAACATTGTTCATTTTGGGATCTAACAGAGAGTTATAAGACAGTGAGTTGGGTTATCACTGGAAAAAGTGAACAGAAGAAATAGCCAATTATGATTTTAGAAAAATACACAAAAAAATCCAAAAGCACTAGTAAGCATTTATAAACCAAGTGACACCCATATCTTGGTGTTATCTTATGTGAAAGAGAAGGAGGATGAGGAAGAGAAGGAGACGGCAGCTTCAAATCATATTTCTTACATTGCTTCATGACATGTTTCCTTTGAGAGGTTAGTAATTTATATGCAATCTATGAATAGAGCCACTTCATTGTGAATGATTAGCTATCATGTTCTGATAAATTATCTAATTAACATCTATACTTCATTTATGTTTTTAGTACTATTACTCGATGATAATGCCATGTATTTCTATAATCCATAAAATCTTCTAAATATCTAATCATTTTTCAGTTTCTGACAGTGTCTCCTGGGAGAATTAATATAAAAGGTGAATGGACAAATGACAAAAGATTTGATATTTAAATCCCCAACTGAGCATGAGCCACATAATTTGCTTAACATAATTATTGAGGAAAACCTAGAACATTTCAAATGGCAAATAGTGATGATGATTAATTTAGTGCTTCCAAAACTTATCTTTTCAATTAAAAATCACATGAAAAATCGAAAACAAACTGTAACTTAGCACCAGATTAAGGGAGTTTGAAATTTAAGATAAAGTGTATAACATTAGTTTGTGTTTTAAGCAAAATAATATGAGTAATATTTCCTTTTACTAGCTCAAGTATGTCACCCCATCCATCTCCATTAGTTTAAAACCCTTAACAAAATGATTGTACAATGTGTAAATAAATAAGGAAAAAGATAGAATTAGAAAGCCAACAAATGTTTACTTATCTTAGGATCAGTATCTGGAAAATATCTTTTTTTCTTCCACCACAGTATTCATTCATGTAGTTTGGTGTAAATATTAATAAGATCTTAATCATAAAGATTTTTCAGAAAATTTAGGAAATAGGAAAATCCATTTTCCACTCTTTCTAGCTGGCTTTTAAGAAGGACTCCTGACTGGAAATCTTGCTATTGCTCACATATGGGATGAGATTCCTGTGACATCAGACTCTCATTGAACCTACCCTTACACTGCTCTTTGTCCCCAGAATATAAATATAGAGGGGCAGGTGTTGAAGTACTTACAGTATCCCTCATATAAATATAAAGTAGTAATTGACTGATATAGAGAATGGATTCTTCAGATATTAGGTTTTGTGTTGAGGTCAGTGGACATTCACTCTTTGGGGCCCTTTATTTCTCTCCTTCTTAGCTTTGCTTTCTTACTTTACATATACTATTTTCATTCTCAAGTAGATTGTTCCACTTAATCCGATATATATCAGCATTACATAATTGAGTTTACCTGGAAGCATAACCTGCTTTGCCTACATAGTTTTTCTTCCTTATAAGTCTAGAGGCTCATGATGAATAATGGGCTTCCGCCGCCCCCCCCCCCCCACATTCAGGTACACAGAACACGCTTAGCATGTGTTTACTCATTGATGGGGCATAAGGCAAGTATCCAACTGAAGGACTGGCTTTATCTCACTTCAGGTACATCCTTCACTAGGTCCCATATTGTAAATAAAATAATTGGTCATATTCCCTATATATTTATAATTTTGTAAGTTTAGTTTTAGAGAATTAATAGACAAATCACCTAGTTGCTATATCTTCAGCATGTATTTGTAATAGACAAGACTGCAATGAATTTTGGAATCCTGACCTTTGTTTAATATTGATGTTCTGCTGGAACTGAAGAAATTGGAACAATTAACATAACTGCACTTGACTGCATGCATTACAAATTTATGTCTTAGTTATGCTTTTTTGAAGCTACTTAGGAATCTCTTTCTAAAATCCCATTAAATGCACCACAGTGACTGTTACAGAATTTCTCTTTTTTCCAAGTTCTCAAACCCAGTTTTAATGCTCTCACTCTGCAGCCCTAAACACCCTACATAAACTTACTTAGCTCCCTTCTCTTCATTGTCGAATTTCCATTTTCCTCTATTTATAGAGCCTTGACACTCAGCCAGG